ATATGCATATGTACTTGCCCCCCCCCCCCCCGGTGGCACGCACACATGCTGAACAGCCTCGCGTCAAGGCTCCCTCATAAGAAGATGTGCCTGGAAGTTCCTACGGCTTCTCTAGGATCCTAAAAATCCAAAAACCAACAATCGAATATCCTTGCATACATAGTTTTACATACATGCCATGCCGCTGGAGTTTTGATTTTTGCTTTTTTCCAGCCAGTACTTTCTCCAAACGAAGTACTTTTCCGTTGCTCAAGCCCTGTATTTTTGCACAGATCTGTGTCCACACGTGCGTGATGTCGCTTCAGCCCCAAGACTGGTCAACGTTTGCCGGCTTCGCTTTTTTCAGCTGCTAGTGTATCGAATGCGAAGGCTCCTATGCAGTTTGTTTTTTGGTTTTGTTTGGGCTGTATGGGAAGAAATTAATATACCACCCAGAAAGGAACTGCATAGGAGTTTGTGGGTGGGCCTGATACTTCAGTCACGGCTCACTCTTTCAGGTACGCGCGAAGATTTAGCTGTGGTTGTTCTGAGGTGCCAGTAATTGACCAAACAGTACAGGGTTATGATCGGCTCTAAAGGCAGGTCAATGGGGAGAGAGTCACGGGTTATGCAGGGTTACATGGGGATGCAAGGGTATCTTCGATATATTGGATTATATAGGTGATTTAGTGTCATATAGGATTATCCATTTGTCATCAATGAACAATGTGTGACATGACGGCAGTCATCCGAAGTACGTGCCCTAACAAATTCTGTCGCTGTCATGGTCTGACTTGTGTTTGCATGCGCTGAAAGGCCACATATCAGACCCAAGATAGCAGGCTAGCTGGGAGAAGTGTTGTTTCTTTGTCATATCAATGTAGGCCCATTATAGTCCTGATTGCATGGACCCCCCAAAATAAGGCCCTAATTTTGGGAACCCTCCATGTGCTGTCGCGTTTTCATGCATTGGCCAGGCTGCAGATTCTACAAGCCTCCTGAGCTAGTCAGCGCAAACCTGATCCGCCCCAAACTGGTCTAGATTTGTTTCATGAAGCATTTCTGGGCTTGCTTATTACCCTAGACCCTAAACGTGGGGATTGAGATGCTTGTGCAGGTTCGGTACTCCTCGCACATGGCAATCCTCTCCACGCTGCTTTGCTTGGCTTCGCTCTTCCCGCGGGTACGTTTGGAAGTGGAGCAGCTCGGGCAGGCACTGGAAAGACATGGGGCGGGTTATATAGGGGAATGGATATATATATATACACGGTATGATATAGGGCTTATATTGGGATACTGAAAAAGAAAATGGAAACTACTATAGTATACAGGGGTTATATAGGGAGGATCTCAGCTTTGCTGCGCCAAGCTTTCACCTCAAAACCCTAAACCCATGAATCTCAACAACTTTGGCTTACGATGCTGTGTGAAGGAACTTTGTGAATGCATGGGGTGCTTCTGAAGTCTGAACGCACTTATGCGGCCTGAAACCCGCCAACCCCTAAACATTTCAACCCTCAGCCCACAAAATTCTGGGTTGCTGTTAAGGAACTTAAATTAAGGGATTATCCCCCTATAATGGAAATTCGAATGGAAAAGAACATGCAAAATAAAATGGAAACTGGGGGAATATAGGGATTTAAGGAACTTAAATTAAGTTACTACATTGGGGAAACCCTTTATTTACTATATATACCCATTATGGTAACTTAATTTAAGTTCCTTAACAGCAACCCAGAATTCTGAAGATCGCAACGGCCTTAACGGTTTGATTCCCAGGTTCGAGGAGGAATCCCCACAGAGGCAGCAGGAGCAACTTGCGGATGTCCAAGGTTCCCTTATAATCCCCTCTCCCTCCTGATAACGTTGAGCCCTTGATTGTTGGTGGGTGAGGAGGGTTTTTTTTATCAACCATAGCATTGGCCCTAAATATTACAGTGGTCTCTATGTTCTTTTCCATCCCCCTATATACCGCTGCAGAACCCTAGCTTCCATTCCATTTTGGATTCGGTTTTCCATTGATTCACCAGCTACAGGATAATTTCCCTGCAAGTTATATGGCATGCAGCCTGCGTGCTGTGGGCGAGAGGGTTCACGGCTTGGCTTTAGATCTTTGGCCCTGTGGAGTGAAGGGTTTAGTGGCAAGATCTATATGACCCTTGTCGCAGGCCTACTTGTCTGGGAGTATCATTACGTGTTGGCTTCATTCCCTGGTAGTTGCACTTGGCTGGCTAGAGGTACCGGTATGTCTATTGGGTAATGAAGCCCTTGATCAGTAGGGGCCACCGAGACCCGCATGACCAAGTCGGTCAAAATCTGGGCTGATGACAGGTTTCTCCTTGGCCGTTTGGCTTTACAGTCTCCGCTGTATCACAGAAGCTCAAACACACAGGAACTGTATTGGAACTTTTGAAGTGGAATCCCTCGCCCAACAAATTACACCTTGGATTTGTAGTCTGAAGCTCTGGTTGGACTTAGCTGTGCAGTTTCAGGTTTTTCCCTCAAAATCGTTTGGCTCCAGGAGGCATGAGAGTAGGGTATCCGGTTCATGTTTGGATGCAAGACGGAAGATTAATTTACCATCATGGTTGTTCGGTTGGCAACATATGTCACATGGAGCTGCTGCACGGCGGCTGCCAGGAAATCTTCATGGGACTGTAGAGTGGTACCTTTAAAGGGCCCCAAGTCAAAGACCACAGATTGCTTTGCTAAGCATCAAGATGCGCTGACGCAAAGCTTGTCAGAGGATTGTTTGGAGCTGCTATGTTGGATGCCCATTTCAAGGCCTATGTATCCCACTAGGATTCGCCTTAAACTCCCACTGCGGTGCCAGAATCGATGTGCATCATGGCACGGCAAAGCCACCCTAATACTTCTCAGCACATGCTTATCAGAAATGGATGTTGAAACTTATGCTGAAATACCTTGTATACGGACAAAAGTTTTCAGGACCTGCTAGAATTGCATTGAAGCTCCTCCAGGAGCTGCGGACCTTTGAAGCGCAACAAGCTTTGGCCGCAATGTTCATCAGCAAAAAGATGCGTGCGCGGGCCAGTTTAGATGAGAGAGAGGTTGTGGGATGGTGCAAACTCATGCAGGCATCTACAATTTTTAGCCCAGTCGCGATTTCCTTGAACCACGCTCTACTACATTGGAGTTTCAAAGAAAAGGCCCCCCCCTTCCATGGCTCAAAAATCATGAAGACCTGGCCTTGTCTGAAACTTTCATAGACGAGCTCAGCATTTGACTTCGCTCTTCCAACAACCTTCAAAATTTGGTAATATCCCATGTTAAGCAGAGGCTTATGAAGTGAAATCCGCACTGTGCAGGTCTTAACTTTGTAGACCGCTTGGCAGAACGAAACATGAGCATCATGAACACCGGAGCATACGTGCTTTGCAAGTAGTCTGCTCACGAAAAGCTTCCTGAAAATGCGTCATTGGGCACCATAATATGCAGAACTGCCATTTGAGATTAGGTCATATCCAATGACTCTCAGACCCCAAAAATGTAATGTGGTTCATCCCATAGCTTGGGTACCGATATGTAAACCCCCCTAGTTTCTGAAACCTCCCATGTGGAGGTGATCCGAATTCCCGGCTATGTGTTTGAGGAGAAGCTGGCCATTGCCAACCAGCACCCACGGGAGAACTGGGTGCAGAAGCTAGTGTGAAGTAGCATTACACAGAGCCTTTTTAGGGCTGATATAGCTTTCAGGATTTCCACGAATCAGGGAGCCTTTTTTGGCAGCCTTTCAAACATGACTATAAAATATCGGGTCAGTATTGAGGCTCCCCATTTTGGGGAATCCCCACAGTATGGCTTCAGAGCTTTCGATGGTCACACAGCGGCATGACGTTGTTATGGTTGATGAAATGCGAGCTCTTGAGACCTCAGCGGGTAGGATTCGGGTGAAGTAGGTACTACCCAAAAGCCGTTCCATTCTTCGGATCCTGTGCGTGACAGGTCCCATTGTCAGGAGGCGCTTCAGGATCGTCGTCTTGCTACACGCCCTTCACAACGAGTAATCTTATTACATGCCCTTCGCAATGACCGTTCTCAACGAAACCAAAGCAGTGCCACAGAGATTCAGCAGGTTCTCAAAGTTATGGTCCCCTTTTTGCCCTGTATTGTCAGGGACCCAGACAAAAAGGGACCCGGATTCTGACAACTTCCCGTATGAGCCCTCATCCATTCAAACCACTATGTAACCCCAGTTTGCATGTCGTTTCCATGTGATCCTCCAGTAGTCTATCCCTAAACCCTGTACAACCCTTATGTAACTCTCACATAACTCGATGTAGATGCATGCATATTCCCGGAGGTACCTGATACCCTCCACGCTGGAGGAAAATGGAGTTGGCCAGGGCCTTACTCAGGTGCGAGAGCCTTTTAATCCCCTCCGCCGAATACTAACACCTCTGACCTCCCTAATAGTAAAGATTTAAAAATCTATGGCAGGGGGTGCAGGCTTTTCGTATCAGGGGGAGGGGATTACCCGTCCGCGGATTCTTTGCCATTGCTCAAGCACTAAGTAGACTTTGCCTGATTGTACTTTTGATAGTTCGATTCAGTACGAGTTTCCAAATGCTGGACAATTGTGGCCCTCGTGATTGGCATTTTGCACCTCCTCACTCGCACCAATATGTGATCAATCTACAATGCTTGGATGGGAAGACTTGGTATCGATAGGACTAAGAACTGCATGCAGTTGTACAACCCCTTCCGCGAGCGCTGCTCACTGCAGGCAAGGGCAGGCTGACGCTGGAGGCAAGCTACCCTGGCGTGGCATTTGGTTGGTAAAGTATTCAGGTTCAAATGCTCCCAATTCTGAGCAGAGCAAGGGCGGGCAGGAGGGACAGCTGGTCGGGGGCGGACCCTGGCCCACTTTTTTATTAGGTTTAGAGAAACCTGTGGTCTTGGATGGCAGCTTTCTTTGAACTTCACTTGGAGGCCGCCGAAGGCTGTGAGGCTTGCCTGGCTTAGTTCGGGCAATATATTGAGGTTATATAGGGATAATGGAAAAGAAAACGGAAACTACTACATGAAAATTGTATATACATGAGGTTCTGGTAATGTGAAGGTATTCTTTGCTCGTCTAGCGTTGCATTGCAGGACATCGGTGGCGGTGAAGGGTTATCCATGTACTCCACGCTACATTCACAAACTTTGACAGGGTGATTAAACATGAAAGCTTCGCAACAGGCTTGCTGCAGACTTGCCGTGTGTTAAAGGCAGATGCTCCTCTCCTCGCTGGCGCATCATGTTTTCCCAATGGCAGTGTAGCTGGTCATCATTACTTGAAGCCGTTGAGGAAAGCATGACCCTAGAAGAAGCAGCAGCTGTGTAAACACAATTGAAGGATACGAACACTCTGACAATGAAAAGCATGATATCCAGCCAGAGCTTTCCTTGGTCGTAACCCCCAAAATGCTGCAAAGTTCTCGGCCCTAAACATTAATCTTTAACCTGAAATTCTTAACGAATGGACATCCACTTGGAGCAAAATGATAGGAGTTATCGGGGGGGGGGTTCCCGCAGTTAGGGGTTCCATTTTGCGGTCCTTAATAAGAAGGATTGTATAGTATTATGGGGGTCCAACTGCCCAAGACTTGCAGAGAGAAAGTTCTGAGCTGCCGCATCCGCATTCTGTGCTCCAATGCCAGCTAGCTCTTGGAAGCATTTTCCAATTTGGCTCAGTTAGGACTCAGTCGGGCTTTTGGTAATTATTGCATACAAGCCCCATAGACCCCGTACGACCTTTTACCCTCTAAAGCGTTTGAGAGCGCAGGAGGACGCCATGCAGAAGATTATCCGCGATTATGCTCGGGGCTTGCTGTTTCCTGGACCTCGGGCTTCCCTATACTGGGTTGCTGTTAAGGAACTTAAATTAAGTTACCATAATGGGTATATAGTAAATAATAGGGTTTCCCCAAAATAGTAACTTAATTTAAGTTCCTTAACAGCAACCCAGTATAAGGACTTCTAGGATTCTAGGCGATGCACCAGGAGGGCCTGACCTGAATCAGGGAAGCTATTTGCAGCATGGCATATAGCGTGCTAGCAGTACTCCTACTTAAGGGGTCCAACTCTTGCTCCTTTGGGGCTGCCTCCGAGCAGCAAAGCACATGAAAGCCTTGCGCGGATTGGTAGCAGCATGCCCCGTCATTGAGTCATAGCATCATCCTCAAAGTCTGCGCAGCCTGGACGTCCGTCTTTTGCCAGGTAGGCTTTTCAGGCTTCTTGCCACAGAAGGTGACGCCATGAAATGGTTCATAAATGAGTTGAAACTAACTAACTGTTACCATTAACGCAGGGCTCCCAGAGTCTCTGGATCCGAAAACGGCCCGCCTCCATAGCATGGGTTAGGCAAACTCACTGGATAACAATTCGACAGGTTTCCTTGCTAGGCTTAGGAGTCACTGCCTGAACATTGAGCTAAGGCCCGCGAGGTGCTTGCCTCAGAAATGGCAGCTCCAGTCAGGGGGGTTTTGTTATAAGATCAAGCTCAAGTGTACCCTTAACAGGGATCCTTCAAACTCAATATTGGTAGTACAAAAGTGGAGCTTCCATTTGGGGAGCCGACTAAAGAAGATCCTAACCTATGTCATTGCGGTGACGTGGGTGGGCATTCACTGCGAAGCCGTTGTTGGCCAACTCAAACAAGCGCGGCAGGCTCAGTATGTTCGCGCCTTTTCAAGCCGTCTTGACTCCAGTGGCTTCTGATCCAGGTTTCAGGGTGCGATCTGAAGGGGGCGTAGCATTAGCATGGGAGGAGAGGGGGGTGGCTTTGGCTGGGGGGTTTGAGGGCTCCGTGAGATTCTAGGCGTTTGCCAAACCACGCTTGAGCTCACTGCATGCGGCCCTCAGTTCGTACTTGGGGCTGGGTACTGTAAACCGCTTTTTTCCCCTTCCTCTTCGACACTTTACCCTTCACCCTGAGACTCTCTAAAACACTTTCGGGCCTGCGACAGGCTGGTGTTCGGCAGCTCCGGAAGCTGTTGGACAAGGTGTCGCGCAAGGCGCGCGAGAAACACTTAGGCATGCGCAGAGGCATTTGTCAGAATTAGGGGCCCCCAACAGAGCCCCTAAGCGATAGTGCTTGGGACTTATTCTTTGTCATTGGAATGTAACTTTTCCAGATATTTCCTGTACAGCTTGAAGTGCCACGGCTCTGCAGCAGCTATCATCTGCGCAGGTGGCTCTAAACCTGGTGCGTCAGCGAGATACAACGAAGGTAGAGGCCTGGGAGAGGAGTTTGCAGGAAGGGTCGGCAGGGTGACCTTTTTTTGCAGGGTTTTCAGACAAGGGATACCTTAGTTGATCCCTTAATTTCTTCACAAACACTGTTAGGCCCTGTTCTTTTAGTGGCCATGCTTAGCATGCTCTCTCGTCCGAAGTCAGGTGCTTTGGGGTCAGAGGGGTTGTTACTTGCTCGAGGATGAGACTTTAGTTGATTGGGCGCGGGGCATGGCTGTTGCACGCCACCAAATGGTTCAAGGCGCGCAATACCTTGCAGGAACTCTTTCGGTGAATCAATTGTTTTTAAGAATCACATGTCCCAACTACCGCACAGATTGTATCGGTTTGTGCTGGGCTTGCTCAGGATAACAGTATATTATAGCATATTATGTTATATTATGGTACATTACCCTATGCCTCCTGTTGGAAGGACTTGTTGATTCAAGCCTACCCGAATCCCTACGCATGATCTACACAGAAATGCAGGTGAAACGGCTGGTCTTGGCATGACTGCCTCACTTGCTAGACATGAACTATAGTCTAAACTCCTTAAAGGGGGTAATATAGGGGATTATATTGGGAAGTACTATATGGGTTATTAAGGGGCATACTTAGGAGTTTAGACAATGGCTCACATGGGGGAGGGCTTTGATCCGTACCCAAGGGGAAAGGATTACTTCCTTTGACACCTGCTTCTTAAGTTAAACGCCCTCTCGAGCCCCTCCAGGAACCTGGACATGTGAACCCAATGAGTAGCGAGAGAGAGATTCACCAGCTAATCAAGCCGTATGACGCTGTATCGCGGCCTGTTCACCGAGATTTAGACTTTTTGTTGAAGGCTCGAATAGGCAGTCATCACATGGTTGAGGAGCTGCATACTGTAGGCATGCCACAGGCCAAAATGATGCAATCAGCAGCATACAGGCATACAGGTTGCCATGCACCAACTCATAGCCCATGCGGCAACCACTAAGATGTTTCGCCACGAGGCGCCGAATGAAGATCCCAGCTTCAACCCAAACCGAGCTACTTACCCATCAGCCTACCTTCAAACAGATGAAGTCATAGCATCCCTGGACAGAGCGCGATGAAGTGTATGGCGCATGCTTCCAACAAGCCATGGTTAGTTTGGGGCTTCTTGATCTGCATTTGCTGCGCCCAACCTTCGCCCCCAGCCCCTTCACCACCAGCCCCTCCGCTGCCACCGGCGCAGGCACCCCAACCTCCCCCAATGCCACCAGCAATGCCCCCGGCCATGCCTCCAGCAGTGCCCCCAGCAATGCCACCGGCCATGCCGCAGGCCACTGCAGCGCAACCTGCGCCCCCACCACCTGCTCCCCCACTTCCTCCCGTGGCCGAAGAAAAGGCCGTGCCAGCCCAAGCCAGCGAGGTCCCCCATACCCCAGCGGAGAAGCCGGCTCCCGAAACAGGTGATGCCGAAACAGAGGCTCCTCTGCCAGCTGTCCCTGGCTCTTGCGTGGTAAGCTTTGAATGCTTGCTTTCTTCTCCGAGTTGAATGACAAACAAATGCCTACAGTATGTGATATATGGTTCAATGTTCACTCAGGGCTTCGTCTCGGGGAGCGCCTCAAGAACAGGCATACTCACTTTTCGGTGTTTCCTAAGAATTCCGATATCATTGTTTGATCACAAGACAGAGAAGAGCAGAAAGAACATATGATCGTGGTATATAGGGGTATAAAGGGGTTATATAAGGATCATGGAAAAGAAAATGGAAACTACTATAATAAGGTCTATATTATATCAGGATTGTCTTGCCGTGCGCCGTTTGCAGACAAGGACGCACCTTCGGCCAATGCGCCTCCTGAAGCTGCAGACGAATCTGAGGCAACTCCGCCTTCGCCAGCAGAGTCACAGGACCGCAATCCTGATATAATATTTACCCTATTATAGTAGTTTCCATTTTCTTTTCCATTATCCTTATATAGCCTATATATATACACTATTATAGTAGTTTCCATGTTCTTTTCCATGAGCCTTATATAACCCCTCTATATATGTATACACCCTATTATCGTAGTTTCCATGTTCTTTTCCATGAGCCTTATATAACCCCTCTATATATAATATATATATACCCTATTATAGTAGTTTCCATGTTCTTTTCCATGAGCCTTATATAACCTCTATATATATGATATATATTTACCCTATTATAGTAGTTTCCATTTTCTTTTCCATTATCCTTATATAACCCCTTTATACCCCTGATATACCCCTATACAACCCTAATAGCTGGGTTTTCTGAACGGGTTGTACACAAGTTTCTTGACCTGCTCCTTCTTGCGAAGATGGACACGGCCCACGGATTGAGTGGTAACAGATGAAATCCTTCCATTTTGGGTTCATGGGGATGGAGAGTGGAGGGGGGTCCCCTAAACCCTAAACCCTAAACCCTAAAACGAGGACGGAAGTCAGGGCGACCCGGAGCTTGATTGGGTTTTGTCATCTGGTCGCTAGGCGATAGATAAGATTTTTCCTATTGCAATCCTCCTGCATGAGAGAGTCAGGGTTATTGAACATGTTTTTGAGTTCTTGTTAGACCACATCCCAATAGGGAATTTTCAAGCGTTAATTTTCTGATGCTATCCAAGCAGGAGCCAGAGGAGCGTGGCCAGGGCCTTCCAGCCCCAACTGCAGAGATGAAACTGGTGGATCAAAGCCAGGCTGAAGGAAGCACAGCAGCCTGCCAGGAGATTCATGGGCTATATGAGCTATAGTCTACATTCCTTAAAGGGGGGTTATATAGTGTTTAGGGTTTAGGATTTAGAGTTTAGGGTTTAGGGTTTAGGGTAGGGGGGCATTATAGGGTTATTAAGTGGGATACTCGGCGTGTAGATTAGAGCTCATACATGGACTTTGGGGGTAGGATTGATATTCAGCTTTAGGGTTGGGGTAGTACTTGTCATGGGGTACAATAGCCCCCCATACAGTGTAAGGTTTCATCCTTCTGGGTGTGTTTTTTAAGATGGCATATTCTCTCACTTAAGTAGGAGTCTTCGTGATTCGTGGCATACGCAGTGAAAAATTCACATGCTGCTGAACGTTTTAGTTCCCACACAACACGGAGGTTCGCTGCGTCCCTCTATCATTTTGAGCCAGCTGACCCACCCAGCTACTAAGGACCAAGTCACCGTTCAAACGGCTGATTTAGCACCTGAACTTCCTTTGGAAGGCTCAGGCAACTGCATGCTGTGGTCTTGGGAGTGATGGCAAGAATGACACGCGTGCAAAGTCATGGCTCTAGTGATGCAGCAAGGATGGCAGTAAACTTGCAATGGTCACGTAAGATGATGGTCATGAGTCATGACGATGGCTGATGAATCAAGATGATGATGGTGGCGATGATGATCACAATAACAGACTTTGTGTTCCTTGCGCACAGACCACTGGACCACCTCAACCGGATCTTGATCTTGTGCAGTAGGATAGAAAAAGGCCTCTAGCCTCGCATCGATGAAAGCAATCCCGCCATGCTTTCAGAAGATTAAAGCGGCGCCTCTGAGCATTCTTTCTCGAGTGTGGCTTTCGTTATCAGACAAGCCCTCGCGTCTCAAGTTTCCAGAAAAGGAACAGCTAAGGCCAGGCTTTGTGCCATGGACGTGTTGAGTTTTGACGACCGCGACTTTACCCAGTGTTGCTTGAGAAACGTACGCTTACTGCTGAGCCTGAGCACCCTTTGGTATGTTGCGGGTCTTCCTTTTGTACGGAATCTACAAAAACTCCTGCAGAACAGTGGGGTAGTGCAAAAATTGATTCCTCTTGTATACACTGCAAGCCACATAGGTCAGTAGGATCGTCATGTGCAGTCCTTCAGAGCTAGCAGCACAACGCATGCCTCCGCCTCCTACCCGAACAATCTTTGTAGATTTGTTGGGCATTGCCATTCCGGAGGTGCCCCTGCATCGTTGGAAAAGATTCCAGATGAGGCTTGCCGCTTCAGATGTGCTGACGGGTCATGATGCGGGACTCAAGGTTCCTCAAAAGAGCCCGAAATAGGCGGCAAGACTTGCATAGCAGTTGTAATGACTGCTTTGTCTGGTTGGCTGGCCCTTCCGAAAATTGGGTCCTGCAGTTGCACCAGACTCTCTCTGCCACCAACAGACACAATCCTCTACAAGGTCTTACGAGGTATCATCTGCCATAACAGGACCCAAAAAGCAGAGCACTGCACCTTCAGACTTGAGGCAACCTGAACCCCCCGGCGAGCCCGCATCATGAGCATCAGCTGCTCCCACTTTGGCCTTGGACCCCTGGCGAGGCCGCATCATGAGCATCAGCTGCCCC